TGCAGCTGAAGGAAAAGAAACTAAAATATGCAATGGAAAAGGAGAAGCAAAAGGCCAGCGGTGAGGCTGCTTTGTTATGTCCCATCACTATGGTCATTATGTGGTATAACTTAGAAGTGCAACTACGGTAACTGTCCTCAAATCGACAAATAGCCTCAATAAACAAACACGTGTCATGTAAAGTCAAAGTAAATTTTAAGTTTTTAGTATGAAAAAATAGCTGGCTCAGAGGACCATAACCACAGCACTTTGCCAAAGTAAATAATGGATCATTTATTGTCTACTCGTTTAATTAAGACCAAGATTGAACAAAGTTCACAAGGGCCCAATGTTACACTATTTTAATTATGATGTTTTTTCCTCATCAAAAACATGCAAGAGTTGTGTTTGGTTTCATTCACACATGTTTAACACAGTTATTTTCTCAAGCAGAAAACACTCTCTTCCACCTTGTGATGTCATGTGGTAAAACAGGAATAACCATACCATACATTACAATCATTTGGATTATTTCAGCCCTGGAATTGCCCATCATTGTTTAACTAAATGTAAAAGGTAGCTGTTAATTTAAAGTAACACATAACATCACAAAGTGGAACAGAATATTTTGAGCTTTGGAGATGTAGTCAAATTATTAACTAAGGATTACTCAAACATGTGTGAATGAAATAAAACATAACTCCAGGTATGTTTTTTGATGAGGAAACAACATCATAACATACATCATAAGACATTTTTCCCCACAGATGCAGAGATGCTCCATTACCAAAAGGTAGCCAGCATTCTGACCCATCGTCAACAAAAGCAACAACAGCAAATAGCCAAGGACATGGTGATCTTCAGGCAGACGTACCAGCAGCCGTCCAGTCGGAGGGAGTTTGACCTGAATGACCCAGACTTGCTCAAAAACATGAGTCCTGAGGAGGCACAGATGATGATGATCCCCGGGCTGCCCGGTGAAGACCCCAACTGTAAAGACCGCCAGCAGAGACAAAGGGAGCAGCTCAGCCACTGGCTCATACAACAGCAGGCAGAACGCCAAGGACTAAGACACAAACAGGAGATGGAAGGTAGGTGTTGTTTTTTATCAAAGAGTCAAATATCAAATAAGGATCTGGTGTAACACTATTAAAGGGCATGGGTGCTATTTTATGAATTACAATTCATAAAAATAATTACAGGGCTCATTAAGCTATTTTCTGATCTGCTGTTGTTGTATACTCATCAAAAACACACTTGGAGTTGTGTTTTGTTTCATTCACACAAATCTTGCACATTTTGGCTGAATTCCTCTCTCAAATTAAAAGCAATCCAGCTTGTGATGTCATGTGGTAATACAGGAAGTGCTCCACTGTGTTTTCAAACTCCATTCACTTTCACTAGAGTCATTTGGATCATTTCAGAATGGCTGATCTCTCAACAAAAGGTAAAAGGAGCTGTTAACTTGAAAACTACCACTTTTTTGCATTTTGAGCTTTGGAGATGTAGACTCAAACACGTGTGAATAAAACAACACACAACTCAGGGTATGTTTTGGATGACGTGATAACATTATAACATTGCTTAAAGCGCCCTATAGATATAGAATGTTCTATATCTATGAAAGTGCACAAGAAATCCATGTTGTGTATTATAGGACCTTTAATGTCTTTGTTATAAAACTATAGAGCTTGTGAACTGGTTAGATGCTGTAGATTTCTGTTTTCAGATAAGAACTATGACCAGTTCATGGTGGAGGTCAACAATATGGCTCTAGAGCTGCAAAACCTTGAGATGGAGAACCGAAAAGCCGAAGTCATGGCAACTAAAGATTTCAATCTTGCAATGGTAAGTCAACTTTCTAACAATTTGCCATATACCAAAATGTGAGTAACTAAGCACACTCTGAAATGAACCACTTGCTCCCGATAAGATCTGCAAATATGAGATGGTGTGACCCAGACATGTAAACAGTCACAGTTCTGGACAAGTCTGTCAAAGCTTGATCCTGTCAGGTCTCTGAAGCTAAGCAAAGCCAGGCCTGGTACTTGGTTGGGAGACAGTGGGGGCAGTATTTTACCACCAGGAGTAATGAAGTGAATGAATAATGTCCAAAATTGTAAAGTGCCTTTGAGCGTCTGGGAAAAGCACTATATAAGACTAATGTTTCTTGTTCTGATTCAATTCAATCAATCAATTTGGAAGCATGAAAATGGAAAATGCACACACACAAAAACTCAGTTTGTCTTCTCGAAGAGCTTTTATTTATGCCGGTGGAATGGGTTAGTGGTTGTGTTAGATAAAAAATAAGATGTGTAAATAACTACCACTGTTTTTCCATGCCAGTCAGAAGAAAAAAGGCGTCAGCAATCTAAGGATAAGGACACCGGAGTTTGGGATTTCATGGATGGAGAGATCAATGCAGACTCCCCCCCAAAGCATAGTGGAAAAAGAGAGGAAAGAGATCTTAAAGCTTAAAGAATTTCAGCAACAACAAATGGAAGAAAAAAAGGTTAAAAAAAAAAAAAAAGCACATGACAGACCCTCCATTCAGAAAAGTTACACAATACACATTTAAGCTACTGCTGTGTGCGTATTTGCAGAGACAAAAACTGAGTGAGGAAAATGAGCAGCGTTACTATGACAGCATCCGCATTGATTCAGCTCGGACGGCCACACTCATTGAGAGACAACAGGCAAAACTCAACAAACAAATGAGGAAACACCTGGACAGCACCAACCACATGTTAGCAGAGACCAGGAAACAAATGTAAATAGCAACAAAGTATTCAACAAAATAAAGTATTCAACAAAACATGCATGCACTTTTTAACAATATGTTCTATTTGTTTTTTGCCTTTAAAGAAAACCGGCGATTTCAAAGGGCGCTGTCACTGAGAGTTTCTTCACCCAGTTCAACACTTGCAGTCGATGATGAAAGTCGTATTGGACTGCAATTAAATAAGCTATAAAATAACAACAAAACACATAATAAATCATGATAAGCAATCAACTTTCATTTGTCATTGAACGGAGTTGTTTGGGCAGCTTTAAAGGCAGATAATAACGGTAAGTATAAAATTCATTCACACAGTGGATCTCAACAGTGACTGCCCAAGTCCCAGACCTAGTGCTGTCATGTGATTAAAAAAATTGAGAGATTAATTAATTATGATCTGTAATTAATTAATCTAATTAATCTCATTTTAATCTCACCTAAAAATTGCTGAGAAAAGCCTTCAATTTGAGGTATTTTCATTTAAATTCATTATTACATTATTGTGGCAGATCAAAAGACTAATATAGATTTAAAAAAGTGACTTGATAAAGTCATTTATTGTTTAACAAATCTCTTCAATTTGGCTGTTGAGCCCAAGTCTCCATGAATAATAAACTGTTTGCTGTAAAGTAGCAAAGACGAGGAAATCTGAACATAATAACTTTTGTCTACTTAAAGACAATAAAAAGTCCAGTCTTTCCTTAACCATATTAAAAATATTATTGATAGAGAAATATATATGAGATCACTGGTTTTAGTCCTGGTTTAGACCTGGTTTAGACCTACTTTAGTCCTAGTTTAGTCCTGGAATGGGTTAATCCTGGTTTTAGTCCTGGTGTTAGTTCTGGTTTAGTCCTGGTTTAGACCTGGTTTAGTCCTGGTTTAGTCCTGTGTTTAGTCCTGGTGTTAGTCCTGGTTTAGTCCTGGTTTAGACCTGGTTTAGACCTGGTTTAGACCTGGTTTAGTCCTGGTTTAGTCCTGGTTTAGACCTGGTTTTAGTTCTGGTTTTAGTTCTGGTTTAGTCCTGGTTTAGACCTGGTTTAGACCTGGTTTTAGTTCTGGTTTTAGTTTTGGGTTAGACCTGGTTTAGTCCCGGTTTTAGTCTTGGTGTTAGTTCTGGTTTAGAGGCGCACAGGAGGAAGCGCAGTTTACGCCGCGTACGCGAGAAAACACGATCCACACGCGGCTCACGGGAGCACGTCGGTGTCCGCGCAGTGTCTACGGAAGGAAACGTGGTCCGCGCGTTCTCAGGTTAATGACGATGATGAAGGTGTGTGTTTGTTTGTGTGTGTTTGTGTGCGTGTCCCCTCATGTGGCAGGTCACTATAGGACAGTAGTGCAGACATCATGAGCCTATGCAGGTTGTTTTCAGGCGATATTATATTTGTTATTTTCTTTTATATTTCACGTCGGGAGAATAATTTCCAAGACACAAATGTGTTTTTACCTGTGCACTGCTGCCTCTGTTCTACTGGCTCTACGACCTCGTCCATTGTGCGACTGACGCCGCCAGCGTTAACATGACGTTTACATCGCTCTTACTGCGCGCGCGTTTTGTGTGGGTTTCCGACAATGAGTGGAATTACCGAAATAAAAAATTTATAAATGTGTTTTGTGTGTGTGTGTTGTTGTCCAACAACACAATAAAAACAGGTTTTATAATAAATAAACTCACATACAGAAACACTAAAGTTAGAGATTAAAAATGAGATTAACGCGATTAAAAAACATAACGCGCTAAATATGACTGTAATTAATTAATCGCAATTAACGCGATAATTTGACACCCCTACCCAGACCTATCATTTTATTTAAAATCTGTTTCTGAAACCACTCAGTTATTAAAGCATTTTGCATAATCTTGTGTTTTAAATGTGCTTTCTGAATATTAGTTAGCAGATAGGTGTTTAGTCTCCACAATGTCTTTAATATCTATTGGAAAAATGAATGAAAATTTTACTTCCGGGACCGGAGCGAGCTGTCACTGTTGAGCTCCATTCATTTCACCTGAAAAAATATGTTTTAAAAATTGTCTCCAAAGATTTGAAAGCACTCATCACATTAAAAATCCAGTGTTCATACTCTTAAAAAAAAAACATAAAAGTCTAAAGTGCAATTGTAAAACGATAATTTCTTGTCACAGTTTTAAAGGCTGAATTTAAATTATGTGTCTCCAACACTGCTACAAATCACTATTTAAATGATTACAATAAGCAAATCACAAAATGTCTTGTCTTGTTATGTAAATACAGCCTGTATTTTTTTCCTGTTTAAAATATGAACTTTGGATAGAACCCTGATATTAAAGTATTTTCAGATATAAACTTGTCCCATCTTTTCTGCCACATAGCCAAAGCTTTATCTCGTTGCTGGGCGGGTAATGAACTGTACCTGGAAGATAACACAGGCATTATGACAGTAATTAAGATATTCACATTAGCTCATTGAAAAACACCCTATAAACTCAGTCTTACTTTATGGAGTTCATAGCCAGTGCTTTGAGGGTGCCTAAGTTGGACCTTAAGCCCCCAAATCCAACAAAAGCTTCATAAAAGTCATAGGATAAACCCGAGGCACCGAACATGGCCGGATCATCAGAGCTGATGACCAAAGGGTGGCCCTCTGCCATCAGGACTGCCCCGGGGTGGTTTCTTAAATCATCTACCAGCTTTAACACCTGGGGAAGAAAACATACAGCTCACTTACTTTACAGGAGAGGCAAGTTTGTGGAAATATATCTATCCAAACTGTCTTCAAATTTTCAACACTTGGATGTCAACAGTGTTGTGCAAGTTCACACTTTTCATGAACTAGTTCAAAGTTCAGTTCACACTTGTTCAAAATGAATAGTTCACGTTCATAGTTCATAATTTAAATTTTGAACTAGTTCAAAGTTCAGTTAATTTTATATTTAGGTGAGATCTGTAAATGAAAGGCTGCATTTATTTTAGACTAAACCAGGTCTACATCAGGACTGAACCAGGTCTAAACCAGAACTGAACCAGGACTAAAAAAGAACTGAACCAGGACTGAACCAGGTCTAAACCAGGAATAAACCAAGACTAAACCAGGACTGAACCAAAATTGAACCAGGTCTAAACCAAGACTAAACCAGGACTGAACCAGAATTGAACCAGGTCTAAACCAGGACTGAACCAGGACTGAACCAGGTCTAAACCAGAACTGAACCAGGACTAAACCAGGTCTAAACCAGGAATAAACCAAGACTAAACCAGGTCTAAACCAGGACTGAACCAGGACTAAACCAGAACTGAACCAGGACTAAACCAGGTCTAAACCAGAACTGAACCAGGACTAAACCAGGACTAAACCAGGACTAAACCAGGACCAAACCAGGACTAATCCTGGACTAGAACTTGGAATCTAGGACCGCCCCTGAGAGAACCCCGAGTGCGATCGGGCGTCAGCTGCGTTTAGCTCGGTGGAGCGCGGACTTCTGCGTCGGTCCTTTCGCTCAGGATCACTTAGCAAATTTGTATGAAGAAAAACGAAAAAAACACCATTTCAATCCAGGTTAAAAAAGCATTGTGACGCGCGTTACTGACATATGTACCAAGAAAAATAATACGCGCGCGGAGCAGCACGTCCTGTGCGTGTAGATTTCAGAAAATAGGATCCATCCTATTTTTTGACGCTCTACACGAGCGTAGGCGCGTATCCCCGTCAAAATACACAGAGAGCATGTATCTATTGTTGTATTTGTGCATTTACCATCAGCACATTGTGCTCCCAGGGCAGTTGTGTATCATGTGAAAGAGCCCAGATCCACATAGACTGTTAATTAGTGCTTTGAAATTAACTTTTGAAATCCTTGCGTTTGCCGTGGTCAGCCTGTACAGAAGGTAAATACAAGCAGCTAAACGCGCCCAGTCAAGTTTGATTGACTTTCCCATTGAGAGACACAAGAGCCCGTACGTTCCGCTAAAGCTGCCGGTGGAGTCGCCTTCACGTTGACACGCGGCTGTGGTTTCGCGAGGTGAAGTGCGAGCAGATCGTCACTCGTCAAATTCCGACATTTAACTGAACCCCAACAGTGACGTACGTCGTTCATTACACATAATTTGAACAAATTCACGTTCAAGTTCTTGATTTACAGAATATCCCTTCAACAACAGCACAACAAACAAACAATAAATTTGCCATTTACAACTATGCCAACCAACGGACAACTAGCGTGCACCCCAAAAACAAAAATGCCATCAAAATATTAAATACGGTGCCTTTAATAGTTAAGCAATAATTAGTTATCCTACCTAGATCAGAAGGGACAGAAACAAAGGCGATTAGATGTAACCTGTATCGAATACACTTTTAGTTTAGCAGACTTTTATTTTGGCGACTTTATTTTTTGTGCTTTATTTGCTCATAATTTATCTTTGCCTTTCATTTTACTTTGAATACAGTTATAATTATCAACATTTTTGACTACTGGTTGTCATTCCTACCCTGTGCTCCTTTAATCACTGCTCTTCTTGTCCTATTAAACATCCTGTCGCTTAGCCTCAAAATTTAACGTTACATAAAGCATAGCCAAAACTTCTCTTCAAAATAGTTTTTTAACATGCCATATTCTTAGATCCTTTAATACTTTAGCGACATTAGATGAGTTTAGATGGTCACAGGTTCTCAGTTATTTCTAGTATTGGGAGGGTTACTCTTAAAATGTATGTAATTATGTTTTCCCCTACAGATTACAGATTAAATGCCTCAAAATGTAGTTTGTAACGCAATACAGTACATTAAATTACTTTAAAGTGAGTAACGTAATCTGAATACTTTGAATTACTTGATACTGTCATGCTTTTTAAACTACATGAACGAAGCAAACACATCCTGCAAATTCTTGTGGGATGGGATGTTTTGTCTACTTAAAGGCAATTAAAACCCCAGTTTTTCCTTAAGCCTATTAAAATTATTATTAATAGAGAAATGCTTCCTATATGAGTTCACTGCCGCTTTAAAATATGTTTACTTTACGATTTAGGTCTTATCTCGTTTAGACCTGGTTCAGTCCTGACCCTAGACTCAGTTCAGTCCATAATGTAAAAACGGTAAAATACTGCCATGTAAGTCATTTATTTTAACAAAGTAACTATAATCCAGTTACCACTCATTGAAACGGTGACTTTAACTAAGCACAGTTACTCATAATTTATACTCTGATTACATAATGCTGGTACTTGTAATCCATTACTCCCCAAAACTGGTTATTTCTTTCACTATTTCATGTTTATATCAGATCCACTAATAGCATTTGTTAATTTGTCACTAAACTTGTTTGACTTGTTACTTGCAAACTTAGCATTTGTTGTTACAAATTGTAAAGTTAAAACTGTTACAGTTTGACACTCTCTGCTCCGCAGGGTTTCTACTTGTTCTATTGACCTTCGGTCAATTCATATAATGTCATGTTCACTTGAACAGGCTCGCTTCCTTTTGACCTTCGGTCTTTTATAATAATTTCGTGTTCGTTTGAATATAACTTCATTGAACAGGCTTGTTTCTTTTTGAGCTCACAGTGTAAATAAAAAAACACTAATACTTTTTTCTGCTTCTCAATTTAGATTTTATTTTTACAATAGGCCACTGTTTTTAATCGGTTCTACTCTTTTGTTTCTATACCAAATTTGACTCCTTTCTCCATGTTCTACTTTTTTGTGCGCAACTTAAGTTTTTTATTCTTTTTTATATAAACTTCATTAAAAGCTTTGTTTTTTTTTTCTGCGTAAAAGTTTAACCACAGACATATATTTTCTTATAAAAGCTTTTCCTTTTCTCTCGTGCAAAGCCTAACACGGCACTTTTCTAATTACTAACTTTGTCAATTACGCTTTATCTTACTTAAAGCCTAAAAAAATACTATTATTTTTTTTTGATTCACCAACTTTTTTTTTCCGTGAAGTTATAACACGATTCCGGCCATTAAAGCCACTTATTTTGACTTTCTTGACGTGAAGTCTAACACAATTCTTAATTATTTATCAATTGCTAATTTATTTATAGTTCCTTTAAAATTACCACTCAATTAGATATCGCAAGAGTCCCAGTAAAATAAGTACATCACATTTTTCGACCTTTTTTTTTGTAGCGCGCTCTTTTGCAATGTCTTTTTTTGGGATTCTTGCGGAGTGACGTCTTGGACCTGCCTCCTCCAGAAGTCTTCATCGCAATCACGTCGCGGGTCACCAAATTGTCAGCTTCAGACACTGACTTCTCTTTATGACACATGTACAAGAACATTAAACCCCTTCCACATTGCATGGTGAATTAACATGAATGAAAAACTAAAAATACAGAAATTAATTCCCACAACACAGTCAAACAATAACATCACATAACACACATAACAACAACTTCTACAACATAAACAAAACAAAGACATACTCGTTTCTCCTGCATGGAAAAAGAAGGGAAGGGACAGTCCTTCGTCTGATGGGAGAGACAGTTCATTTCTGAAATACCACAGAGGTCTCCCTTCATCTTCATGGCCCACCTGGGAGCAACACATTACAAAAACACATAAGCATGCTTTAAAACTGAAAGTAAAAAAATCACATACTGGCAATATTATTACCATATTACACAGGGGTTACAACTCATGTGACTCACTTATATAAATCATGCATGAACAATAAAACAATTTAAAATTTACATTGATTGCAGTGGAGTAATTATTTGGAGAGACAAATGCACATTTTACAACTTTTACAGAAATAAAATAGAGTAAATAAATACTATTAATATGTCTTCACACATATCAGGCACTGGCTTCTTGTAACAAAACCGCACCGTGAGAACCGCACCGTGAGAACCGCACCGTGAGAACCGCACCGTGAGAACCGCACCGTGAGAACCGCACCGTGAGAACCGCACCGTGAGAACCGCACCGTGAGATAGCTGCTCATTTTGGCGGCATTCAGTACAATGTTTTAAGCTAACTTGAAAATTTTACAATACAAATAAAATGTACAAATCTCAAAATTAGCACACCACAATACATCCACTGCATGTGAAAACGCTGTGTTATCAACATGTGCTTTTGTATTTATGCTAAAAGTACGTTGTTTTTGTGAAATATATTATTTTCAACCCAGACAGAACTCACCCTCTGCCGTCTCCAACGGTCTGCTGATTTATTATAAAATTCACATATAAATTATAATGAAACCTAAAATACAACCAGGAAATAATAAAAATAAATGCATTTTTAACTAGAATAAGAGTCACGGTGGACAGGTGGGGCTTTCTTGTGTCTAATATAATTCCACACGATAAGCAGCCTAATATTAACCTGGAAAAATTGAAACAACAGATAAAGGAATAGTGAAGAGGAATACTATATATACTGATAAAATGCAATCAGGTGTTACCTTCCAAACAAAGAGTTGTCTGTTCTCTTTATATATTCGAAGTGCGAGTGTCTTTGAGATCATCTCTCAAAGCATGTTCCTGTTCACCACATTGATTCTATCTTTTCCTTTTCCAAGTCGAAATAGAACATCCTTGGTCGAAATTCTTCCAAACGATTGTCTTGTTTAATATGTCTCCTTGATGATGATGAACCACAGTGGCCTATGGTCTGTTTTGCGCCATACACTGTCTGTGGAAGCCTTTATGGTTATTTAATGGTCATTTTGTGATGCACTGATGTTATATAATGGTAAAAAGTAAGTTTCTAGTTCAT